GCAAAATGTATCTGTCATTAACTGGTTTTTTTTAGGAGAGGTCAGTCTGAGGATACGCTTGACCATAGCGGCGCCACAAAAGTCACCCCAGAAAAACCAGAAAGAAATTGGATCGATTTCAAAAGAAGAGAGTTAAGGATAGAAGAGGTATGAGTGGAAAAGACAAAAAGTAAATAGTTTTTCCGGGAGAAAAGGCTAACCTATTATGACTGCAAGTGGTTTTTGACATCCACGAAAAGTGCAGTGTACGGGAGCACTCTCTGGATAGAACAATGTCGCGCCCCATAGACCGACACACAGCTGAAACAGATTATATTCTGCCTATAGTAGACGTGTTTGCAGGAATATCAGAATCAAAAACGAAACGTTTCTGATGGTATGGGACATTTGCAAAAGTTTCCAGCTCGAATGGGTGGCGGTGGCAAGTGAACCGCTTACTGCGCGCAGGTCGAGTACCAGATCGACTACTGCGCAGGTCAACCAAGCCTTTTAAGCTCCGTAGACGGTAAATTGGTATTAGATTCGTTAAGGATAATGAAAGTGGTTTGTACATCGCCTAACCACCACAATTCATTGTATAGACCATATCGCATTGATTAAGCCAGTGCCCACTGCACTCCAAATGGAACTAGAGTCTTATTCGCTCCAGATGGTGGGGCGTGTCAAAGGGCTGGCTTTGACGTAGCCCAGCCCTATCTCCCCTCTCCAAACTGTTGAAGTGGACAAGCGACGACAATTGGTGGAAATCGTTCGGCTGCCTAACCTAGCCTCACTAACACACTGCAGCAGCAAGAAGAGATATGTGATGTGTGCCGCATGCCCGAAATCTAGCTCAAATAGAGAAAATAGAGCGTTCATTATAACTTGTTAATCCCAGCATACTATTTTCGAACCCAATAGTGATTAGATTCTGAAGTACGACGAAAGGTTCAGCTCAAAGACAAGCCACGCCTCCCGAATCACTAAAAGCAGGGCACCGTCACTGGGTTAGGGATTTTATCGACCATAGGACCGCCCCCCCCCTTCTTTACAACGTCCGTGAAGCGAGAAAAATCAACTATCAAAATAAATTTTTCTCCGAATACGACCGCTTCCTGGCGACCAAATACAACCCCCCCTATTGGGGATCCCCAACAACGATGTGCCCTGGCTCAAAGACAAGCCACGCTCTCGAATCCATTATTTTCTGATTTCTGCGCTGTATTCAAATAGAACTGTGGATTTGTGTTTGACCCCCCCCCCTCCCTCCTCGCAATGATGCGGCTAGAGCCTTACACTTCTTGCTATTCCCTATCCCTCCCATGTTGAAAGCAGGGTGATCAAGTTAGATCAGGTCACGGCGAGCTTCTGGACCACCAAACAAGCAAAAACAGTGAGCACCTCTCACAGAGTCGAGACTGCATTATTCTATCGCGTCATACACTCTGCCAATAGTCTGCCACTCTCCTATCTCCCCATACACTATTATACTAGCTGCTCTCCTATCGCACCATACTCTTCTCTCCCATACGTTGGTAGACGCTGGTCCGATACCTTTGCTTTCCTAGCCCTCGTGACGCTGTTAGACGCTGGTAGACGCTGGCAGTCGCTAGATCGATATCTATACTTTTCTAGTCGCTGACGCTGCCGGATGCTCGGAACGCTGGTGGACGCTATTGGTCGCTGGTGAACGCTGCTGCAAAGTATGAACGCAGCCTGACCTTCACTTTATATTATAGGTACCAAAATGTGTGCGAAATTACTGATGGCGCTGCCAAGAATGCTTTTGCGATGGCAATAAAAGTGAAAAATAACCAATATGTATTCTTCTCACCGATGCCATTGTCGAACACACCCAGATTAAAGCAATAAATATATAGCAATGTTTGATTGTTATATTGGACTGATAGAAAAACGGATGTACAACAGCTGTGTAGAGAAGAATTGTAAGAGCAATATAAGTTCCTGGAATAAATTATCATTCAGTTCGATAAAATGTGAACGATGAAAAATCAATAATTTGTTCGAGAGGTGCTAAGGCTCGAAAAGGGCGTGGCTTCCTCGTGCAAGGTAACTTGCCTTGGTGCCCAAAAAGCTTCAAATCGGGTTCAACTTAACCTAAAAAGAAGCTTGAACAACATATGGTTTCATAAGCCCGTTAAGCTGAAAGGGTGAAATAGGCCCTGGGGCCACGGAATAGCGCAGCTCGCGCGCGAAAAGCGTGATGGGTGCGTGTTTCGAACTCCCCTGGGGCAGCGAACTTGCCCACAACTCAGGCATCTTGTGATAACTTTCCGTAACAGCGTACTGGCGGGCGTAAAACAGCAAGTTATGCTAACCAAAACGACTTCGAAATGGCTGCACAAAGATCTTCCGGACGGAATTGCCTAAGCAATCGTGGGTGTATGGAAACCCCCAGGTTGACCACGGGCATTCGATTCCAGTACTGAGGGTCACCGCATTTTCCTTTGCATAATTTTCCCCTGTAGAATCAAGTGGTGCCGTGACAGCAAATGCCTCGAGCGCAATGCTCCATTTTTGTCATATCGCACAGTGTAACACTGCCCGCCTGGTGAAGGTTCCTCAGTGAGGTTCTAAGACACAGGCCCATCACTTACTGTGCAGGTCGAAGCAGATGACTGTGCCTGCCTTCCTCTACTGCGCTCTACTATCTGAGAGCATAAAGAGGAAGAGGCGGCAAGGAAGAATGAACAGTCGTTGACTGCCTTCGCTCAAACGATCAGCAGTTTGTTGCTTTCGGACGGAAACAATGCAGTTTGCTTGTAATTGGCGTCATGCTGGGTAGCTCCGCGTCGCTTGCAAGGGGGGTGAGGGGCGGCGAGATGGGGGGGATTTGATGTGGTCCTCGTGTATAGTTCCGCGTACCTGTGGGAATCTTCGGTGGTACTCTACCTAGCCTATCGAAGACGAGGATAATGAGAAGTCGGGAATTACAGTTGCGTTGAACTGACAACTGAGACCAATCAGGAAGTTGTTCGCTTTGGGGAGCTCTTGTGTAAACTGGCGCTACTTCAGGACGATGACTCCCTCTTCCTCCTGAGAATGAAAAGCTCCGGTATGGGTGAAGCGACTTTTTCAGGTAAAGAGGGACCTTTGCCACTACAGTAATGCCCTATTTTGGCACAAGGCGTCCTTCAACTTGCCCACCCAGGTGAAAAGCGCTCTTTTGCGTGCACTTTCGACACAAGGGACGTGACTAGGCAAGCTAACAACATATGAAAAATTAGGTCAACGTGCCATACATGGTGCAACGCCTACATGACTGCAAATGATGATGATTCTTGGCATATTTGTGACGAAAAGAAATTTCAAGCGCTACAGGAGGAATTCTCGGAAAACAGATAAGCGAACTAGCAATAATACAAAAAAAATGGGATCATTTTTTTGTTCTTCTGTCTGAGCCAAACGAGGTTTGTAGGTGGCAACACTTTATTCGGCCAACGTTTCGACCTGTTCGTCGTCGTCAAAGGCCGCGTTCCACCACAACAGGTTAGTAGTTAGTACGTTAGTAAAATGGGCTTATGTTTTTGTTCCTGGAACATTACATGAAAACTTAGAAAAATACTTACCCGTAATAGATAGAAAGTTGAGACCACCAAGTAATAAGAAGATCATCGCAGTGGCATATGCGAATTCATCCAATTTCCAGCATATAATCACCACGTAAAGGAGCACAAGGGCCATTATCGTGCTCAGTGACCGGCTGATAAGGAATAGATATCTTTTTCGTGCTCTGAAATCAGTTATTGTCTCGCAAAGATTATCGTTTTCTTAGCTACTGACTTCACTTGCTTCTATCAAACTTTTCTATCTATATACGTCTTGTTTGCAGATGCTGGGACGTATCAGGGGAAGCTGGGTTTGACGTGGCTCCAGCTTCAACATGTGGCGGACAACGGGCTGACGCCACGCCAAACCCATCCCCTAATTTGCCCCTGCGTCTGCAGCAAACAAGACTATTTATTTATTTATTTATTTACTTAGTTACCTATCCATCAACCTATCTGCTTGTTTAATTATTTGCACAATTCTCATATTCAAACCACTGTTCCAGGTAATACTTTTCATAGATCCAACTGAAAAGGCAGGAATGGTTATCCGTATATGAAAGCCCATTTTCCACTGCAGTCCTTTCTTATGCCGTACCTTTTAGGGTGCCCATACAAGAACAACTGCGATTGAATTTGACCATTGCATGTGCAGAAACATGAGCTTGGACGCACCAGAACGCACAAGGGGCGTGAGAGCGTAATTAACAAGCAAGCTACATACAGGGGGGGCCAAAAAAAAAGTCATTCCGGCCGAGTCACATGAGCGAAGTTTTCGCAGCCCAGACAGAGGAAGTGGATATGAGTACCAGGGCGGAAGATACCCAAGATCTTCCTCTATAAGCAGGAGCCTGCCGCCATTCACCTTCATGTACACCAAAATATGAAGTCATCTCCAGTCGCGGCCTGAGTGGAGAACGCCTTTGGAATTCACGTGGCCTCCAAACAGCTGCGGAACTTCTTGAATGGAATCACCCATGGATAGCTACCTGGAGACCAGTACTCTTGATCTGCAAGACCTCAAACTATCCGAGGGACCAGCTCCGGCAACGTCGCTACGGTCCAGGACATCATCTTCACCCCATTCACCAAGGCGCGGGTTGATGGTGTGGACCGGCCGTACCTGGAATGGATGAACCGATATTTTCTTCGTGGGCCCCAGACTGAGGGTGTGCGCTGGTGGCTACATCGAGCAACTCGAGGAGAATATCCATCTTCATGTCGTCGCCCGTACCTTCTTGGAAACTTTGTACTGCTACAGGATTGGGTGACAACACATTTAATCGAAGGGCGTTGGAAAAACTTTCGCCTACTTGGAATGGAAGAACGTTGAGTACCTGGAAAAGATGGAGTATTTAAGCGGGGGTCCTGAACTAAACCCCCTCAATTACTCGGTTCGGGCGGAGCTCAACAGGGTGGTCTACAGTGGCGGAGAAATCAACGATCTCGCTCAACTCCGGTACCCACTCACTTTCGCTGCGCGGCCGAATCTCTCGATGGCGCTCCTCCAGAAGGCTGTGGCGGAGTATCATTATAGTATTTAATGTGCTCTTTAATATGGTAGTAAAAATGTCCGATAAAAATTTAATAAAGTGTAACTTATAGCGCCTTGAAAGTCATGGAGGCAAAATGACTTTTTTTTGGCCCCCCTGTATACTCCGGCATCATCACTTCAGTGGGTGTAAAACTGATGACGCCCACGACAAGCACTTTTGAAGTCGTGAAATCGGTGCAACCTCTGCAATTTGTAGACCTGCACTAGCTGTATATGTGAGGTATCGCACTTTCTCAGCTAATTGTGGAATGCACATTTGAAGAACGATACTGTATACATTCTCCGCCGTAGATCCTGGTATTTGTCATGTGTGAGATAAATAGGTCTCCAACCGCAGTGACTGCCTTTCTCTCCACTCTAAAGTGCACCAGAAGGGAGCCGAGAGGGCTGTGATACCGAGCTGCCATCTCCACACTCCGCCTGCCCTGCTGCACACGCCACGCCACCTCAACACCATAGTCATAAAGACTTTTTGCGCTCACAGTTGTTCTCTTTAGGTTAGCTGGTTGCCGTCGCTGCGAGACTTGTATCGACGAAAATGCTGGGACGAAACGGGGCAGAGCATGGGATGCCACTGAGTATCACTACGCCTCGAGCCCAGTTCTTGAGCATCTGAGCGCAAGAAAGGGCACGCTATGGCAGCTGCGGAGCCCAAGCACGGACCGGACGCCGTTGTGAAACAGTGAGCGTTCAGCTCTCGATCGAGGGCTGTAAACAGTTCGCCACTCAAAAGCTCTGACAATCTTTGACAAGCCAAAAACCTCGCCAGCGGTGCACTTTTGCAGTAGACCTACCGACTGTACATGCAAAATATTGCATATATCAGCTCATCGAGGACTGTACTTCGAAGGTATCGAAATTCCTAGCTCTTTGTGCTGGTAGCTACGCGAGGATTGCGTGTAATCCCGTTTACTCTTTAATACTCTCTTATCCATCAGATAGTACCAAAACATATCTGTCAGTTGTCATCCTGAATGATCATTCTCTTTCCCATTAATCTTTCATTTATCATTTGCTACCCTAACCACCATGTCTCACTCAATGAATGTCACCAACATTCACAACTTTGTGCCATAATCGGAACCAAAGTCCAAAGCCAGTCTATTATCTCGTTGTATTGCCAACGCTCTTCCTGTTCGGGTACAACAAATTCCAGTCACAGGTAAGCAAAAAACACCCGAGCGGATCCCGATGCTAAGCGGATTCTGTATGGCGGAGCGCTCGTTTGTTGGAGACATCACGTAATAAATTATAAATAGTGTTAACAACAGTGATCCTGAATCCTAGTCTGAGTCACCTGAATACCATAAAAACCGAGGCACATCATTGGTTGGGATTTTGGTCGCGTCTACGACACCCCCTCCTTTTTAAAGAGGTCGCACGGGGTTGGTGCGACCCCCACCCTGATTCCCTCCTCATCGAAATGTCGACAGGGGGTATGTGGTACACATACAGGGAATATCATTAAATTCAGCAATCTTCTTGAGAAGATCAGAAGGGAAGTACGACCCTCCTCCCAACACAGGGCACATCATTGGTTGGGGATTTTAGTCGACTCTATACGACCCCCCTCCTTTTTGGGAGTTGGTACGACCCCCCCCCAGCCCTCTGTCCTTCCTCATCGAATCGAGCCGTCGAGGGCG